TCTTCTAATTTATATATGACGTTATTTTAATTTTTCTTTACTATTTTGTTTGTATTAATATATTATATTATTAGATTTTTGTTCTAATAATATTATAAAATACTATAATTGATTAATTTTTCAGAATTTTATTTTTGGTCATTTTACATGTTTATCAGCTAATTTTGTCAAACATGATTTGTTTATCAGCTATTAGTTAGTTTATTAGCTATCAATTAGTTTGTCAGTCATCAGCTAGCTTATAGCCTATATTATAAAGTATTTAAACAATTTATTAAAAATACCGTAAAGAATTGATTAATAATATATAATCACTTAAATTTCAAGTTCTGTAAGTAATTACTATGTACATATAATTTTTTTAAACATATTTAAATATAGGATAATTATATTGATCTATTAATACCGTAAAATACTCCGTTATTATTTCATTATTAAAAATCTTTAAGCTTAAATCTAAAATACTGAAGAAATGGATTACATTTTTCACCTCTCTGCTTTATGATTTTAACGAATTAGGTCTTTGAAGTGAACTTTTAATGAAAGAGGTCATCGTGGTTTTATTTTTTTTCAATGACTTAAGTCGCTAACGACAACGTCGTTAAGGCAAGGAACACTTTTTCAGATTTATGTCTTATATATATATATATATATATATATGCACACACATACGAATGATCGTGTAAAAATGAGAGTTAAAGTGAGAAACGTAAGAAGGGATCACTTTTAATCTCAAGCTCACCCATGAATCGCATTTAATACGAGGATTGATCTGATGCATTTTGTTGCATCTCATTCTAATGTGCATTCAAGAGTGGAGATCTTTTCTTATGTTTCTCATCTTAATTCTCATTATCACTGGAACCTAACTCTATAGATAATATAATGTATATTATTACATTAATATATTGAATTAATATAATCATATATTAATATATTCTCTATGCTATTTCATAATACATTTAAGTAAATATTTTAAATATTAGATACTAATAAATAAGTTTTTATAATA